TAAGGACAGTGCCTACTAAATACAAAGGTTTTTGCGCCAGGTTAGGACCACACGGAAAAAGTAGATCTTTATAAGGGGTACTGGAATCCCCAAAGAAAAATTGGGGGAGCCATGAATTTTTTCGAGATAATTAGCCTTAAATCTCAACAAAAATGCTGACATCAGCATTTTGCTGAAAAAAGAAGGAAAGGATGTTTCTTCACAGATTTGCTTAGAATTCGCCTTTACAGACAGAAAAGCAAACACATTATAAAGATCTTAAAACTACATGGTAAATGGTAACATGAAAACCATTTTTGGTATTCTTTTAATAACAAGATCGTTGCAACGGCACTTTTAGGGTCTCTGAGAGCCTTCCTCTGGTTCAGCTAAAATACAGTCTAAATACCTTTTGCTCACAACCAGTAACTAATCACTTGTTGAATAGGTTTGCCACTTCCATTTCATAACATACAATGTAGGGGTAGCCATGTGTTTTTTTAAAGTTATTGATCTTTTTTGAAAACTTTAACGGTGCCCATTACATTTTTTCCTGTCACCTCCCCAGTAAGTAAAACATTTGTGGATCTCGAACTTGCTTTGTGCGCACTACGCTATCTGCAGGTACATGTTTACAGCTGGATTTCAGTATAATTTTCGATAGATAACAGCTAGTTTTTCAGCTGGAAGATGTTAACAGTTAGTGGTTACGATATGCTGCTATTCTGGTGTTCCTGGTTTAAGTACTTAAGTCATTAAACTTGATTTGGTCACAGTGGGAAAGTTTTGCTTTCATTTTTGTCATGTACTTGGTAGCGTAGTTGATTGTGTCAGTGTCAACCTCAGCACGCACGTGGTGCTTAAACCTGCCTTGCGTGATGCGCAGAACGTATACGCACAAACAAGAGTAGGCACCATCCTTAAGCTTCTGGTTTGATTGCATTTCTTCCCTTGCAGATCTTTCAAGCAAAAGAGAGACGCTCACAGTCTAGGAATTTGATGAATAAAAATCACCTTTTTGGGTATCCTGAAGCCTTTGTGTGCTGGAGCCTGTTTCTTTTTTTCTTCCTTTGGTGGCATACTGAAGAATAATTTCTCGGATTCTTTAGTTCTTTTGCTACTGAAGTCCTTTAAAAAACAAAACAAAACAAAACCACAGATTTAAATATTATTTCTGCCTGTGGCAAAAGAAAACAGATATACTTGTACAGTGTATGTGTAGAATAAATGTAAATGCTACCTATCTCAATTTAGAATTTTTTTTTTTTTGATACCCTAGCAGCTGGAATAAATATTAAATATTAACGGGAGTTACCTGATTACAGATCCCAATTAAATTTTTGTAGACCCTGGAATTGTTTTGTCTTTTGTGTCAATAACGTAAAAAAACCAAAAATTTTGTATTGGGGAGGGCAAATTTCTTGTTGCAAATCAGATTAATTTTGTTTACATGTGTAGAACAAGCAAGCTCAAAATGTTGGTTTTTCGCATTTTGAGCAATGCCGAGTGAAATTAAATCCAATTATCAAGTATACCATGTACATTTTTCAAGTGTACCTCAGTCATTTCCTCTCTGCTTCTTCTATGACTAGAATGTCGACGTTTTCTTGTCTCCTCTTGGTCTCCTGGAAGCTTTAACTTGAGTGTGTGCACTTTTCTTCGACGATAATCAGGTGTTGAGGATGGCTTCTCTTCCGAGCTTTCCACTTGTTCTGATGTAGCAGTGATTCGTCCATTTTCCTTCTCATCTGTTTCTGATGTCTGTTGAGCCATCTTAGCACTTTCTTCCTCTACTTTTGCTACATAGTGTTACAGAAAACACAATAAAATTAATCTTCTGAAAATAAGCATCCCCATACCCATAAAAAAACATCCAAGCAATCTGACCTGGAAAACGCGCACATAATCCTTCCTGCCCTTTCCCCCCTAAATAAAAATCCAGTTCTCAAATTGCAACATTTTCGGGTCATGGCTGATTGATTCTGCAACCCCAAGGTACCAGCTATCCCCCTTTGAAAAATCCTGGATCTGCCCCTGCACAACAAATGCATAGTTTATAATTTTGTAATTCACCTTTGCATTTTGGACAGACATACTCCTGTCCATTTTTCTCCATCTGACGTCCTTGTGCCATGGTTATACCAACACACATTCCATGAAACCACTCCTCACAGTGATCACAACAAATCATAAACCTGCAGTAGTACAGAGTAAAAATTCAAAATCGCATTTCTTCCACACTTATGCAGAAAAATTGTCCACCAAATACAGAGGTTTTCAAAACCACTCTTAAACCAGAGGAATTTGAAAATGCCAGCTTTGTGTTTCAGTGTGGATGGAAAAAAAAAAATTGAAAATGAAGCTTTTTGCCAATTTTGATGTCAAGATAGTGATGTGATTTAACCTAACACTCAAGTGTGTACCCAAGCGTTTCTGCCCCTGGTGAATGTTTCGTTTTCAAATTTCTCAGGTGTAGTGTGAACAGAAAAAGAGTGAAAATGCCAAGGTTTGGACAGGACTGAAATCACTTAGTACTACACGATGAACAAACAATGAAAACATGTACGATACCTGTTCCCATGTGGCTTACGACAGACACACCACAAACGATCGGGATCATACTCTGGATCATAGTCAGAATCGTCATTGAATTCTTCATCATGACCCAGAGACTCAACATCAGAATATCCTTCCTCCTCTTGACTTGGTTTTGTATCCTTTTCTCTTGACTTGTGCTCGTGGTCAGAATCATCAGCACTGTTCTTGTCTGTTCCTGTTTTGCCTTTGTTCTCTATTTTAACTGCCTTCTTGCTCTTTTCATTCCCTTTGCTTGCTTTTTCACTGCCTTCGTCTGCTGGATTGTCTGTCATTTTGATAGCAGCTTTTTCAGTCTTTTGTTTACCATCATTTGCTTTTGTAAATGTTGCTGGCTTTGTTGATTTTTTAGTTCCTTCATCAGCATTTTCTTTGATAAGTTCTTTGGTTTTTCTTTCCTCTTTTCTACTACTCACCCTTTTTGTATTTTCAACGTCATCATCTTCTGATGACTCAAGCTTTTTTTCTGTTTTTCTCCTTCTTGGAGCCTTTTCTTCACTGTCACCACATTTCTCTTGTTTAACTGACAGCTCACTGTTATCTGGTTTATGCAAAGAACTGCTTCTCTTAGAAGTGTCTTTATTGTCATCTTTCTTACTTGACTCTTTTTTGCTAATGTCTGATTCACTTTTTCCTTTCATTTTCACATCTCCTGTTTTCAATTTTGCTTCATCTGCTTTTCCTTTAACCTCTTTTGCTTCTGTTTCCTTTATTACATGCTTTACGTTTTCTTCTTCCTTCGTTTGCTTTTCCTTATTTCTTGTCAATCGTCCGCTTTTTCTTACATCTGCTTTTTCTTCTTGGTTTCTCTCGGTGTCCTCAATATCTGTTTTACTTGTTCCTTTGTCAGCTTCAGATTTTGTTTCTGCAGATTTGTTTTCTGTGCTGTCAAGTCTTTTATCAACAGATCCTTTTTCATCACATACAGTACTACACTTCTCTTTATTTTCATCTGAATTTTCCATATCTTTTCCCTGTCTGCATCTCGGTGTTTTCTGCTTCCCTTCTCCAGCAGCCTTTCTTTGATTCCTGGGTGACCTGGCAACAACAATTACAACAAAATACCTCATAAATTTACCATAGAGTGAAAGCCCTCATAAGCAGACACCTTCAGGACACAAAAAAGCTGTCCGTAACTGGAATTTGCCTCTTAGGAGAATAATTCTCGTAAGGAGCCACTAGAGTTGTAATGGAAAGATGGGCGCCTACAGGAGCTTGGCAAGTTTACAATAAACGTTGCAAATGTAAAAATACCACCAAATTATTAATTCTTTTTGTTTTAATGCCTTGTACATGCAATACCCTGATAACGGCGATAACTGCATAATTTAAACAGTACTGTATACTGCACTGCTAGGATGGGCCTTAGTGATTAAAGAACAAATCATAATTGCAGCCAGAATTACATTAGCATTAACAATCTCACTGTAACAAAAAGCAGTGAAACAGTTTACAAATGTTTATGAGTATCTTTCAAAGTCAGGCCCAATTCCTTTAAAGTGGCTGTTTACGGCAGCTTAAAAAGTCAAGATCATAAGCCCTCCAAGTGCCCTCCAAGCTTACAAGGATGTCTGCTTACGAGAATGTCTGCTTACAGGAATGAGTAAATATGGAGTTTGTAAGGGAGTTTAAACGATATTTTGTGATAGTGATTGTTAATAGATTTGTCTGCTTACGCAAGTGCCCCTTAAGAGAGTGTCCACTATAATTCGTTCTTTCAGTAGCAGCTTGGTTTGTTTTACCCGCTTGCCTAGCTAGCCATATAACATCATAAAAATCATAAAAAATGGAATTGATGCTTCAAGAAATAAATCATCAAGACAAGCAAAACTAACATTGTCTTTCATACTGGCATACTTCTTTCAACTCTCTTTATCTAAAACTCTCACCTCCGGATATTTTTAGAAGTAGTATCTTCCTGTTCTGTTGAATCTTTGCCTCCATCTTCCTCATCTTTGTTGATTTCCCTCTCAGTATTCGCAACTGTTTCTGTTGTCTTATTCTCAGCATTATTTTCCTCCTTCTCCACTTTTTTCTGTGCACGACCACTTCGGCGAACTTCCTTCTTCTCAGCTTCTGGTTTGGTATTTGCATATTTTAGTTTTGATATGTCTTTACCTCGAGATATAGACTTTGATGCTGGGTTACCCGTTTTTAGAGTCTCTGAATCCTTTTTCACCTGGATACGTTTACGAGGAGAGCGCCTCAGCCCTTTGTCAGTTCCAGACTTCTTGTCATCATTCTGGTCTTGATTATCTGGGTGTCCTGTGGCATCAGCCACAGATAGTCCATCTTTGTTCCAGTTATCAGGATTAGACGGATTAGCCTCTGAATTATTTTCTTCAGACGACTCATCTCTTTTGTTCAAAATCCTATCTGCTTCCACTATTGAATCGAATGATGGGAACATGGGGCCATGGAAACCCAGGTCTCCTGGTAAAAGCACATCGTGGTTTTGTTTGAGTGAATCACTCAACACAGGGTCGCTGTACAGTAAGTTTGTCTGACCACCAGAGCTCAAAACCTCATCGATCCTTTTAAAAGTGTCCGGTGGAAGAAAATGTTCGCTCAGGACATCAACTTCGGAAGGATTTTGCGTTAATTCGTGCACTTGATCGTCGGTGAACACGGGACTAATGGAAGGTGTTATGTCCCGGAGTTCAACGTGCGAGTCCGTTGAGATGTCACAGATGGACCAAACGCTCGATTGTGCAGTATTTGCAATTGTAGTCACAGCAGTTGTCTGCGAAGGCACTCCTTCTACGCTGTTTTCAGACGAAACTTTTGTCTTCATGCGGAACAGAACGCAAATTAAGTCAATTGATTTCAAAGCACGTTTAGTCGCTCGTGATAGTCAAGTGATATTTCCGAGGTACAGTGTGCGAGATCTGTGATGCGATGCCTCTCCACGACAACGAAAATATCCTTACCATCAAAACAGCAATCAGTTAAAGGTGTTTACCAGCATACAACTCTGAATTAACCCAGAAAAAACTAACATGTGTCTGCAATGTCGCGCAGCTTTCTCCAAAAGCTCATCTTCCACATGCCGCCATGTTGTACGTGGTCACGTGGTGATGTTTACACGCATGCACACTCCCGCCATATATGGCGCGAAAAGTCAGACAACCACAAACCGTCCCCTCCCCGAACAGTTTGACTTTTACATTTACAAGCCAGCCACCCTTTCGTCTGTTTGTTATTTCGTTTTTGTGACAGTCTGTAAGAGATTAAGAAATGGAAAATTAAGAAATTATTCTTCGTGATCCGTGACCTGAAGGTTTTGCGTGACCCGTGAAGAACTTGAACCGATATTCGCGATTTCACCATAGATAGTAGAAGACAGTCTCTTTACTATCCATGATTTCACCACTCTCAGCTTCGTGATTTTGAGACGCGAGTCCTCCGAATGGTTAGAGTCGTCTATTGAAAGAACTCGAAAGTGATTGAGGTATGCGATTTGCAATGTGGAGCCTTAACTTAGCCTTTCACGATTTTGCTTTCTTCAAACACTCTTTCTAATATGAAATTTTGATATCCGTGATTCGTGATTTTTTCTGCTCTTGAACTGTGCCAGAGAACACCTGTACGACCCTCTTGTCGTGAAAGTCAACATTTGTGGGTTGAACTTTAATGAATGCACAGTTCTTCACAGGAATAGTCAATTAAGCTACCCATTGGTAGTGTTTTTTTTCCTTTGTTACTGAAACAAATGATTTTTTCGTTTGAGTTACGTATAAATAGCTTATTCCGTATTTACTTTACTTTATGCGAATGTAATAAAATCGTCGGGGATTGATTAAAAAGTTGTTTAACGTTGTAAAAATCATATAGTATGGAAGTCCAGGAAAATAGCTCAGAAGTCGGAAGTCGGCGGTCGGAAGTCGGAAGCACGAAGTCGGAACTCTGATGTCGGAAAGTATCGAAGTGCACCCCTCCCCCCGCCCAACCTCTCGATCGGCTGCCGCCCGTAAGCTTTAGATTTTATTTCGAGTGTCACAGTTCAACTTCACGTTGTGAAGCTTGATTACTGGTTTTACCTTGATTACTGCTTTTATTTTATTTTATTGATTTTATTTTATTTTTTCGCCTTTATGGCGACCAGGAATGCCAAATTTTTGCAAACACGTAACTATGAAGAGTTCATGAACCTCAAGACCGATTATGGAGTCCTTTTTGAAACGATTAGCGCATAAAATGTATTCTGTTTCTCCTCTATACTTCATATGGTTCCTTTTCATCTTTTCAGATAGTAACTGATACGATAAAAAGATGCGAAGGTTTGAGAGGCTCCTATGGGAGGGGTGGGTGTGATGTTATGCTTCCAGTGTGCAGATCTCTCTAAGGTTGAAGGACTCATCTATCAGTTTCGGAACTATAACCAGGGGGGCCTATGAGCGGGGAGCTTATGAGCGGGGGATTTATAGGCGGCAGGTTATGGTATCACAGCTTTATTCAGCATACTTACAATAATTTCGACACTGACACAGAAACGATTATGAAAACTGATATTTATTACAAAAAACTAATTATGGCGTCAAGCACGATACAGAGAATCAACAAACATTAGTACATTGGGTATATCATTCTACCCCGAACATCATTCTAAGCAAGGGCATCTCGTTTGATTGCCTTTTTCAATTCACCGATAAATAACCTAGCTTTAACGTGTTCCTTATCCATAATATAAATGCTGTATTCTCCAAACAAGCAATCTCGTTCCCAGAGCCCGCGTCACCCTTGTCCGGCGGAACAACGAAAGCCGTTCCCCATTCCACTGGACAAGGGTAACACGGGTTCTGGGAGTGAGATTGCCTAACTAGCCTCTATACATGTCATTTCTATTAGTTTGGTGCATTATTTAAATATCAGGTGTACGTCTACCAATTTTTTAATTTCAAATTCTAATTTTAAAACAACAACAAATCTTCAAAATCTCCCATTTCGATAAATTTTACTAATCCTTCGAGAAAAACTGTTTATCTCCAAATATACCTAAAAATCACCGAAAAATTTAAAAAACAGCCTAAAAAACATAGATATGTGGGATGAGCAGAGAGATTCTTGACTGCTTGAAACGTGAACGAGATATTTGCATTAAAACCATAATACCCAGCAAAAATACGGCCTTCATGCAGACCCCCGCCTTAACTACGAGATCTATCAGTGTGATTGCTTGATTGCGAACGACCTTAAATAAGTCAGTATATTGCGGCARAGTCGCTGTCTCTTCYAAGATTGAACGAGAATCCTTCGTTTTATCACCTTGCCAACATTGATTGCCCGTGACTCCGCGATTTAACTTGTTGACAGAGACTGGAAAAGAGTGAACCGTCAGAAAGCTTCAAGAGGATCTCTATATTGCTAACTAGCAAAGCCATTTTGTTGTGCATTACGGTATGATCTGATTCAAAAGCAGTTTCAAGCTACCTTACACGTTTTTGTTGTTTATCTTGCTGTGCTCTCCTCAAACAAGACTGTGTTTTACTCCGTTTTGAGATCACGCTATAATTGATGGCTTTCAGCCAATCAGAGCGCTCGTTATAATTGGATTATGTTGTAACTATAAATAATATATGTACTTCCTGTCGCTTCCTCATATTTGTGTAATAATGAGCAAAAAATAAGCACTGTTTAAGGTAGCGTTTCTATTAAGCAACACAGTCTGGGATTCAGTTAATCCAGGATGTTTGAATGTTCAAGGAGGCTGGAACAAAAATCTAAAAATTAGATCGACAGGACGATCGAGCAACAACAACCTGGGCCTGGAAATGATTTTTGTTCAAAACAAGGATGGAATTCGTTCTGTTCGCTCAAATGGAAACAAAACCTAAAAGCCAGCTTTGGTTTCCGATCTGAACGATCCATCTTCGGACGTACATTGTTTGGATTGCAATATAAGATTGGTTTGGCCATCAATGAAATGAGAAATCTTCTTTCCCATCGCAAAATCCGGATTTAGCTTGGTTAAAAAGAACGCTACTTAAACCTTACGAAAATTCTCGCGCTTCTACCCTTTTACAAAATACCGTCTATAGAAGATCTACGCGAGACGTTTCTGCATCAAAATAATTCTGCATCGGTTTAATTCTACCTCTGAGTAAACTCACCAATGTCTTAACGTACGTGTTTATTTTTCCTCTCAATCGGGTGATGTCCGATATTCAGTCCAAAACATTCCATTCTGATGACATAGCTCTCAGGAGACTCGTGTAGTGTCTATGGTTGTTTGTCGCGCGCAAGGAATATCTAATCAGAGGCAAGGATTTCTGTAGAGCTACGTCATCAGAATGGAATTTTTCGTGTCCAGACTCACACGACCAATCAGAGAGGAATCGATTGAAAGCCGAGTTTACTCATCCCATTTACTCCGTCTTCATCCACAAGAAATTTCTAAGAAATATATAAATTAATACCAACCAGGCGGCGCGTTTAGTCAAGAGAGCATCACGGCAACAGGCTTTTCCGGTTTTTTGTGTCCAATCAGAATCAAGTACGAGTTACAAGCACTACACTCACGAGGACAGGTCGCGTTACCTAGCAACATCCTTGACGAAAAATGCGACTTGTTCTCTCGATTAAGTATTTTAACTACATGACATAAATATAATTTGCGGTAAAGTATCGCCGTTTTGCGTTACATCTTTTTAGTCTCCCTTACAAAAAATATCGCCGTTTTGCGTTACATCTTTTTAGTCTCCCTCACAATTAAACCCGATCTGGATCGTCACGCAACGCTGTGACTGAACCGTTGCGTGACAAAGCGTTGCGTAACGACCCAAATTACGACTGCTAAGGTGACTGGAGTGGCTACGGTGCAATATGTCAGTGTTACTTAAATTTAGATGAAGATCGTTTCTTCGCCTTATCAGCCTTTTTATCAACGAACCTTTTCTTTGCCCAGACTTTCTTGGGTTTCTCGAGACCAGATGCTGCTGCCACCGTATCGTCCCTCCCTTGATTCAACCCCTCATTCCGGCCTCCTTGTCCAAAATGTAATTCCCTATCACTGGTCTGCCCAGGTCCCGCATCCGTGACGTCAGGGCTATTGCCAAATGCGGCCGACAGGGACTGGGGTAAAGGGGAGGCGCCATAGAGGTTTTCTTCGGGGTCGTCGTTGCTCAGAAGTGTTTTTAAGGGGCTCTGGCGAACCATAGTCAGCTCGTCCTTTTTACCATAAAGGAAGGGGTTGATAGCCACCTCTGTTCGCGCCCATTGCTTCCTGTTGAACTTGTCCGTGTCGACAAATCGTCGGGGACGGATCTTCTGCTGAAAATGCGCCACGGCTGCCAGCTCGCGGGATTTCTTAGTCTTGGGACGAAGAATTGGCGGTAATGAATTCAGCTTCTTTTGTTTCTCCTGTATCTTTTTATCGCGGGCATATTTACAGGCAGCTGTTAACGAAGAAGCAACAAGAACCAGTCAAAAGGTGCAATATCATGAAAATAACTTCGAAAGGTCAAAATCCAAAAACACATACTTTTATTGATTGAAACTTCTTAATACATAATGGTTCCGTTTTGTTAAAAATTACTATATAAGTGCAGTGAAGCTGCAAAACGAGTGATATAATTGGTTACGTATGCACAAAATTGTGATGTCAGATTGCGAAAGTCTGGCAAACTTTCAAACTCTGTAATCCCCTCGTGTCTTGGAAAAACGAGTGAAAAATAATCACAATTTCTACAGGTCATCAAATGATTTCGAGTACAATTTGGAGTAAATAAGCACAAGTAAACCAGCACAAATACTAAAAAATAGCAAGTTCAATTTGTAGTCTAGTCTACTAGTGCATATTTATCTCAAATTGCACGATATAAATCATTTGATTGCTTGTTAATAATATCCATGCAATTTAATTTCAACTTTCAAAACTCAATTACAACGTTTTGCACTCAACATAATTTTTCTGTACTGTTTGGGACTAATTGACGTGTTCTCAACTAATCAACATGTTGAAATCTTTGCATTAGCTCTTATTAACCGAGCAGGAGGTCTTTATGGCAGAATCTTGACCGAGGTTGTGAGTACAGACCGAACGCAGTGAGGTCTGTACACACAACCGAGGTCAAGAGTCCCCCATACAGACCGACTAAGCTCGGTTAATATGATGTTTATTATATGGCAAACAAGAAAAAATTAATTCGTTTAATGGAACTGGTTTGTACTAGCTGACATTTTGCTTGTAAATGGCGATGAGCTGAACTTAAATCTGCCAAAGCTTGCTTGTCCTCTTTACTTTTTTTCTCATCAGGCTTTTTGTCACTTCTACTAATATTTTTAGAAGAAAATAGTCCTTACTTTTGTACTTTAATTTTCAACTTTTTCACTGCAAAAAGTAACCGGTCTAGATGCCGGTCGAGATGGGAAAATCTAAACCGCTTTTAATATCGATTTCAGCCAATCAAATTGGTGCATTCGGTAGTTCCCAGTCCTTGTGAGACACAGCCATATAATAATGTATATTATTAACACACAACACGATAAGCATTCCGTTTACAAGCAAAGGTTCTTAGGCATAATTTTAGCACTGTTTTCCACTCAAAGGAAACTATCAGGAAAACCGCTCTATTAGGATCTTCTTGAACGAACGAAAGTCTCCGAGAAGGCTACGAGCCCAGTGATATCTTCGGCGAAAAACGCCAAGAGTGACAGGGGCACTAAAAGTGTGACAAACTAACACTTTCTACTGCTTGCGTGACAGTACAAGTGACCTTCTTCTTACGTGACATTTACAAGTTAAACTTTTCCTTGCGTGACATTACCTTGTCCTTGCTCTAAGGCTGGCAACACGTCAAGTTGAATCCAACATGGAGTGTCAACGTCTTCGTCTCCATCTGTTACAAAGCTAAAGTAGATCGAGGTACTCGCTAAGATGCTTGTCTCGATATTGGAATCAAAGTTCTTAGGCTGCAAGCAGTAATGGCGAGTTGTAACCGCGAAAGATTCCCAATCAAAGACCTGAAA